ACACCAGGTGGTTCATTGATGCTTATGAGAGGCAAGATAACATGAATCATAGCTTGCTTGAGTTTGCTAAACTAGATTTCAACATGGTGCAAGGCATATGCAAGAAGGAAGTTAAGGAGATGTCTAGGTATGTAATTCAAGAAGTCATTCATGCTTTAATTATATATATATATAAAATAAACTTTCTAATGGAAATTTTTGTGCATGTTAGTTGGTGGAAGAGTATTGGTCTTGCTGGTGATGAGTTTAGTTTTGCAAGAGATAGATTGATGGAGAACTATTTTTGGGCAATGGGATGTGCTTTTGAGCCACATTTTTTGAGATGTAGGAAGGAGATTACCAAGTTAGCTTCTTTAATTACAACAATTGATGATATTTATGATATCTATGGTTCAGTAGAAGAACTTATGCTCTTTACAAACGCCGTTGATGAGTAAGGAATCTATACATTAAAAGCATTTGTAGAGCCCTTACTTTTTATTTGTAAAAAATCTAAAATTTAAGTACAATAAATAAATATATTTTGGAAAGAGAGGTTATGTGAAAAGACATCACATATTATGTTCTTTATATCAATCACATTTTATCAATTATAATGAGTTCTTATGCTAGAAATGCCATCAATAATAACACAAGTTACTTTTATTTAATGATTCATAACTTATACATCTCAGATGGAAAATCGATGAGATCCAGTCACTTCCAAATTGTATGAAGACAGCTTTGCTAGTACTTATCAATACAATGAATGATACAGCATGTGCATTTTCAAAAGAAAAAGGATTAGACATTCTTCCACAACTAAAACGAGTGGTATGCAATCCATACATAAAATGCTACTTTAAAAATATTTGAAGAATATTTGTATAGCAATATTCTTTATGCTTATTGATGTAGTGGGGAGATCAATGCAAAGCATATTTAGTGGAGGCAATATGGTATAATACAAGATACATTCCCTCCCTAAACGAGTACATGGAAAATGCATGGCTTTCAGTTGCTATTGCTTTGGTGATAAATGCTGCATATTTATTAAGTGAAGACTTAACCAAAGAAGCTCTAAATAGTCTTGAGTTCTACTTTGATGTTACTCGTTACTCATCTATGGTTACTCGTCTATACGATGACTTGGGAACATCTACGGTATGTTAAAATTTGTCTCATCTATATATATTCACAACATGCATGCATCATTACTAGACATATAATCAATAAGATAAATTATTTTAGTTTTTGGCATTTTGATATATAGGATGAGCTTCAAAGGGGTGACATACCAAAATCAATTCAATGTTACATGAATGAGACAAATGTTTCTGAAGTTGTTGCACGGGACCATATAAGAAAATTGATCAAAAAATATTGGAAATTATTTAATGGTGAATATTTTTCTAATTTCAACTTGGAGGAGTCTTTCAAACGATATGCGCTAAACTTACCTCGAATGGCACAATGCATATATCAATATGGAGATGGGTATGGAAAGCCAGATCGGGAAACTAGGGATAGAATAATCTCTTCACTAATTAAGCCCATTCCTCTATGAATTAGGTGTTCTACTATGCTCTCCTGAATTTTGTATTTGATATGAATTGTTGAAGCTTCCTGATGTTTTTTACCACAAACATTCTTGTGATGGTATGTTGTTGTTTCTTTTATTTCATAAATTGGCTTGCTCATTGGGAAAAAAAAAATATTAGCTCTAGAGTTAAACATGTTGAAGACAATTAAGGATGTTTGAACATGTTAGAATCTATTTGTTGTTCTCCACATGGCAATGCAATGCTATTAAAATTGTAAAAAAAATAATTTTCTCTAATTTTTTCAACTAATTACTTAGGGTTTCTTCTATTGTTTTTGGAAACAATTATTTTATTTCATCCTAAAAAGGGTTTACAATGTGAAGTCCTGAAAGGAATCACATACTCACAAAATGCTAAAAAAGTTACAATAAAAAAAGAAAATAAAAATCTAATGAGTTGAAGATCCTATACTACTTACAAGAAGTAAAATGACCCATGAAAACTATAATTTTATCGAATTTTGACAAAAATAACTTATATCCCTTTCTAGAAGTTTAATGCTTATTATTATTATTTATGGCTTTATTAATATATCAATAATATTTAATACTTTAATAATTATTACATGACATATAAATCATAAAGATTGAAAAAGAAAGGATGTGCAATTATTGAAGTAGAAGATGTAATAATAGTAATTACAGAGCTCTTGTGGTCACTTAATATAAATAGAAGAATTTAAACCTAATGCAGTTGCCCACCCTGAATCTTTTGTAATAAGTTAACATCACGTTGAATATGAAGCGGTATATTTTAAGTGGACTAATATCTTGCCATTATCATTTTTGAAATTTGATGGATAAAATTTAGCTAAACATGTCATTCTTTAATCATAAATTTTTTAAAAAGAATCACATTGATTTTAACACACCACACAAAGATGATATCCAATATTTATCTTATGAAAGGGTAAAATAAGTCAACCTGATATAAATTTGTTTTTATTATTTTTGGGCATTGACTCCAATCATGATAAAAAAGATCCTCTAATTCTTTCAATATAAAGATGATATTTCAAGAAAATCTTAGCGATAACAATGATACTTTCAATCAATTACAAGGTTTATGCAGTTCATATATGGACTTCTACTCCTTGAGCAGTCTTAATCTTAACCTCAAAAAGGCAGTAACGGTTTAAAGATAAACCATTATTTACCTTTGATTCGGGATATAATCGGCATTCTCCCCCTCCTAATCAAGGAAAAATCGATCCTAGAGGGATTCGATTCAACCTCTTCCACACAGGTTAACGTCACCGAGCAGGTCTCTGACATACAACCTCGAATAGGTTATACATCATTAGTGGATTCTCTCGACCTCTTCCACACAAGTTAACATCATCGAGTAAAGACTTTTACATACAACCTCAGATAGGTCTTACTATTGGTGGAATTTTGAAAGCAAGTTTTGAAAAGTTTGGTTTTCTTTGGAAAATTTGAAATTAAACTTAAATTCTAATTCTAAAATTGAATTATCCCGTAAGAAAATGTATATCACCTCGAAAGGTGGTAATAAAATTTTAGGGTGGGATTCAGATTTAGAATCATGAATCTCATCTTGAATATTGTGACCGGATGCTAAAGAGAACTTCGTATGGCCCGAAAGGGCCAAGATGAAGTTCAACTAAGGCTACAATAGTCAAGAAGGTTGATCATTAAATTCATATCCAAAGCTCTATTAAAGAAAGATATATCTCCCCAAAGGGAGAAAATATTGTTCGATGCTAATTCTTCTGATATGATGTTAACGATCGCTAATTAATTTTCCCAAAGAAATCCAATTAAATTTTGAAAATCAGGTGTGTGTAGTTCTAAATCTCCTGCGAGCGCAAGCCCTCAGAGTTAATTACATCGTAGGGAGACAGAGTCTCATAAGAAAACTCTCGATTAAAATAATGACAAAATTTTGTTAAAGATTTTATAGGAGTGATATCAAAAGGAGGTGAATTTTAAAATCACAAAAGGGAATGGATCGAGGTTGAGAAGTCATTAACTGAATCAAGGGAAGAAGAGTAGGGGACACTTTGAGATTCTAAAACCATTCAGAAGCGTCTCAACTTAAATTTCAGTATTGGGCTTTATCTTTTTAATTGAAAGAGGATTTAATTAAAGTTGAACATTTTATTAGAAATTTGGGATTATATTCCCGGAGGCTGGGGTCTTATAATCAGATATCTGCCCCAGATCTGAAATCTAAATATGGACACTAGACCACAGTCGTCCGAACCTAACTAATATAGTGCAGAACCTGGGCTTACTCCGGCTTGGATTGGAGAGCCAACTAATGTTAAGAGAGTTGCTATTTGTGTGTTTTACATTCTTGCAACTTGTATAGTTTTGATGATTCCAAATATTATTATTTTAAATTTTGTTATCTCCAAACATTTTTTTGGAAGATTTGTTTTTGCACTTGTGTGGACTAACATTTCAGGAAAATCGAACTC